CCATCACAGAAATCCCTTCAGGAAAGAAAGTTTTAACTACTTTTGTCCCCAGAACTGCCCTGGCACTGTCCTGTAGGGGGTCATGGGCACCCCAGAACTCCTGATGCCAGTTAGCTAGCCCATGGAGCTAACCCCAAGGCCAGGCTGGACAAGGCTTGGAGCAACCTGGTCTAGTGGAAGGAGTCCCTGCCCATGGCAAGGGGCTGGAGCTGAATGAGCTGTAAGGTTCCTTCCAACACAAACCAGCCTGAGATTCTATGATTCTATGGAGGTTTTCTAGGGGTTGATAAGGGTTGAGCTGACACCTTGGCTTCTTCCTTGCTTGGTTCCTCCTCCACAGCTTCCCGCTCCCACAAGGCTCACAAGAGGATTGGGAAGTTAATCCTCTTTGAAACATCAAGCTCCCTGTTGAGCAGGACTGAAAGGTCTAAAAGCTGTGAAGCACAGCAGGGCACTGGCATGGAGCCACTTTCCTGCCTGGAGCATTCCCATGGGTGAGCCTCAGCCACCCCTGGTGGCAGTGTCCCCATTGCCACCCCTCTCCCCACCCACCCCAGGCACCAGCCTGTCCCCAGGCCCATGGCAGTGGTCCCACCAGCTGGCTCCCTCCATCCCGCCCTGGCCTGGCTCCTGCAGCCTATCCACACTGGTTCCAGGGAGGAAAGTGAAGTGTCCACATGTACTGGCACAGGAGAACATCACGAGGCCATATAGGACATGGGAGATGAACAGAAGCTTTCTGCAGACACAGCCTCATGGTGGTGGGGAAGGCTCTGGAGGTCCAAGGGCACGGCTGAACCCCAGCAGGGGGTTATTATCCAGTAATGGGTATTACTGGAGCAGATATTTGTGTGTAAACATTCTCTTATGAACTGTACTGGGCCATTTGATCCTCCAGGAAGGGTTGCTCCAGCTCTTGGTGAGGGATTTTGCAGGCTGCTGTGCTAGTGGGCACTACTAAGGAAGCAGCTGCCTTTTCTGCTCCCCCTTCCCACCCAAACCACAAACTGTTGACATCCTTGGGTACTCCTCACCTGAAATAAGGAAGGAAATAACAGTGGCTCTGGGGGTTTAAGCCTCTGCAGCTCTAGATCTGGGACAATGATGAGGGTGTTTTGGCTTTGCAGTGGCCACTGCCTGGGATGGGGGAGCCAGGGCTGCCCAGGCACTATGCCTGGGTGTGCAGTGTTCCTGGCTCTTCAGGCAGCTTCTGCCTTGCAGGAACATCTCCACCTTCTCTCCCAACCCTTTACCCCTGCACCGAAGGGTGCAGCAGTGGGGAGCTCCCAGCCCTGGTGTCTCCCACATTGCCTTGGAACCAGCAAGTGCAGCCCACTTGCACCCACCCTCCAGGCAGGACTCAGCAAACAGCATCCTCAGCCTGTGGTGCCTGAGGGAAACCTTCTCCCTGCTCCACTTGTCTGCCTTCAGGGAGCATCAACCTGCATGAGAGCCAGAGCTCTGTTCTCACCAGCCCCAGCTCTTTTAAGTACTTAAACCCTCAGTGCTTCCCTCTGTGGGTCTTTGATCCAATTCCAAAGCCAGAATGATTCTGCCCAGGGCAAATACCCAGGGAAACAATCCATTTGGATGCATCCAAGAGCAGGGAAAGGAAACCTCCAATTGCAGTAACAGGTAGAGAGGAGGAAAATGCATCAGGGAAATTGTGTAGGGTTTTTGTACTCTTTTCCTCACTCAAAGCTGAGGAGATGGGATTGCTGATCCTCCATGCTCACTCACTCTGGCTGCACACCTTGAGGGGATGGAGAATACATGGAGGACACAACACTGCCTGAGTACCTCTGGTGCTGCCATCCTGTGCACTCCCTGGGATGATGGGGACCCTTTGGGGGCAATTCCCAGTTTGTCTTCTCAGCTCCAGCCTGGTACCTCTGCCTACCCTAGGCTTGCAGTTAAAGAGCGTGCTGCAAAGCCAGTTCATTGCCTCCCTCCTGCCCGAGACAGGGCAACTCTGCTCCAGGTTCTCTTTGCAGCTTCACACGTCTGCTCAGGAATCTCCTGGCCGACCTTGGTCCTTCTTTAGTCCAACTTTGGTAACTTTCCACTGCTGCCAGCTCTTGCCTACCCACGTTGGGGTAAGAGAAAACTGGTTGTGCTGGGCAGGAACCACTTCTGGTCCCCAGCTGGTTCCACATGGTAGCTCCTTGTTACGAGTGAGTGCCTGGCTCCCTGGCCCTGCTGCAGGTGGCTTGAGGATGCACCAACACACAGATGGATAGGGAAGACACACAGACAAGGCACATCAGCACTTGCATTCCCCAAGTCATTTAGGACAAGAGAAAACTGCTTCAAGCTGTACCAGGGGAGGTTTACAGTGGATATTAGGGACAATTCCTTCATCAAAAGGCTTGTCAGGCATTGGAACCGGCTGCCAAGGGCAGTAGTGGAGTCACCAACCCTGGAAGTGTTCACAGACCATGTAGACAAGGCCCTCAGTGACATGGTTTAATGGTGGCCTTGGAAGTGCTGGGGAATGGTTGGACTTGATGAGTTTAAAGGTATTTTCCAACGTGGTTGATTCTATGATATCAGCTATGGCCTCCAAATTCCTGTGGTCCCAAGTCACTTGGATGTCCCCCAGCCAGACTGGTGTGTGCAAGGGGTTAACTCACCCTGGCATCAAATATGTCCCCATTTTTTGGTGCCATAGTGAGCAACCTGCCAGTGCATGGCAGCACCCTCTTCCCCTGAACATGGGATTTGGTCTACTCCATCTATTACTTGTGGGCAAATCAAAGGTGTTTGCAGTTCCATCCCTTGGGACCATGGTTTCCCCCTCCTGGCTGGGGTGCAGTGGAGAAGGCAACAACTCCCTGCAGCCCAGGGGCTGTGGCTCTGCAGCAACTGTCCTGTTCCAGCACAGGATCCACCCCCGAAACTTGCTGCTGGCCTTTTGCCACCAACCCAGGGATTCTGGGGGACACAGCGTTTTTATGGGGTTTCTGGGATGCTCCTACTTCATGCTTGGGGCTGCCCTGCTCATGAGAAGCAGCCTGACGTGACATCCTTCACCACAACCTGTGGCCCCATCCCTGTGTCCCTGGGTGCCTGGGCTGTCCCTGTGCTGTCTCCCCTTGCTTTTGACCCCAGCAGTACATGGAGCTAAGCTCACAGCCACACCAATGTGGCTGGAAAACAGCAAACCCACCCTCGGTGTCCTCTGCTCTCAGCTTCCCTGGGACCACGTCCTTGTGCCAAGGGGACAGGGAGAGCAACAGGGAACCTTGAGATTGTTCCTTCCACTGCCTTACCCAAGATAAGCCTTCCCTGAGGGTTTGTTTAGTAGGAAACTTGCCCCCCTCCCAATCCCTGAGCGTTCCTTTGCTCCTGAACCCGGAGGACAAGGAATACTTGAGCAGGATCAGTTGTACCCACCTGGGGTTAGAAACCCATAAATGTTGTGCAGCTCCATTGACCAGGAGCTGTGCTGGGGACCTGCTGTGACCCCATGTCCCCCCAGCCTGAGAGAAGGGGGGCTGCTGGCCCCATCAGGGCAGGGACTTGGCTGAATCCTCCAGCTGCCAATGGGAAGGGGCTTGGCTTGGCAGGGAAGTTGGGGGGGGGGGGGGAAGGGACGACATGCAAATAGGGTGACTTTGGTCAACCATGGCCAAGAAAGATGTCTATCAGGTGGGCCTGCCATAAAGGGCAGGTAATGGCTCGCTATCAGATGCCTTTAGGGTGACCAAATAGCCGTGTAATGGGCCCTGCACTGGAGTGGCCTGAGGGCCCTGGGGGTGCAGATTGCAGGCTGGATAAGCCACCCCGGTAGTTCAACTCCCATCCATTATTTAAATGCAAAGGTAAATGCTTCCATCTTTTCAACTGGAATGGTGCCACCAGCTCAGCCACCTCCTGAAGGTCCCATCCTGGTGGCCCACAGGCAGGAGTCACCTGGGCTGAGGATTGCCCTTGGCAGTCCATGTCAGGGCAGAGAGGAGGTGCCACCAGCACCCCAGGGACAGGGTGCACAGGCAGGTGGCAGGGTGGCATGGGGGATGTGGGACTTGACCTCACACCCTCCTCTCTGCTCTTCCCTCCACCAGGACCCAGGTGCTGCAGGCTCATGGGGTTGGATGCTTCTTGCTAAAGGAAAAGGTTGGGTGTGTATGCAGGGATTCTGCAGGAGGAATTCAGACACTCTTGGCTTTATGGGACTGCTCCAGTACCCACCAGAGCAGGTAGAGCTCCCTGGATAGCAGAAAAGAGCAGACAGCAGCAACTCCACACGGAGGTTTTTCTCTTTAATGGTTTGGTTTTTGTTTTGTACATTCGTAAAACTGTGAACAATAAATACTGAGTGATCAGCCCCCACCTTCCACTCACCCCCCAGCTCCCAGGAGTGATGTGGAGAGGGATGCGGGATGCTGGTGCTGGCTCCACTCATGGGAGAGGTGCCCAGCTCTCAGCCATGGGCACCACAGAACAGGGCAGCATCCCAGCATCCCAGCTCAGGGTGGCAGGATGGAGTCAAGGGCTGGGGAGGGAGAGGTGGCTCATGTGCAGGCAAGATTTCAGCTTAAGAGGGGTGAAAGGCAGCACTGCCTGGTGGTTTGGGCACTGCTGAAGCCCAGGGCTGCTGGTGAGATTTCAGCTACCCCTCTGGTGCCTTGGACCTTTGAGGTTCCCACGTTCAGATGGGGATCTGCTAAGAAAAACAGTGTGACGTTTGGGGCTTTGATAATATGGGGTTCCTGGATGCGTGAGGGACCTACACATCTGGTTGTTCCTCAGAGGAGGTAAAGGCTGGGTGGACAAGAAAGGATGTCATGGGAAAATGGGGCTCCAGCTTCTTTGCTGTGCCTGTGGGTGCTTTTTTGTGTGCTGGATGATCGTCCTGGCATGAAAGATGCACAAAGAAGGTGGTGGGGGGAGAGTAGGGAGCCCTGAGATACAGGAACAGGGATGTGCTGGCATGGGGGACAGCAGCTGTGTGAGCAAGTGAGCTGCAGAGGGTTGGGTGACAGGGAAATAGGGCACAGGGTGACGGGGGGCAGAGGGTGGCAGAAGAGGCTGAAGAGACTGGCAGGCTGTTGGGAGTGGGTGATGTGAGCAAGGTGCTTGGTGTGGAGGGGGCTGCTCTGCTGATGGTCTCACACCATCCAAAGATGACAGCATTGTTCAAACCCAGAAAGAAAGGCCCAGCACCATCTCCCTGTGTGCCCTAAGCCAAGTCCTTGAGTGAGAAATAAACCCTTCTGATGAGGTGGAAGCTTTGTCCAGAGAGCAATCACATGAGAAGAGCCAGCTCTTCTGTGCCTGGGTCCATCAAAGTACTTGTGGGTCCTAAGTCTGGCATGTGGGTTTACCTTCTTAGGCATCCAAAGTAGGATTCTCCACTTTATGTCCAGAGAAAATCCAATGTCTAAAGCTCCCTCGCTGTGCTGTGTAGGTCCCTTATTTGTGGCTTTGCTCGCTGTCCTCTTTGTCATGCCCTCCTGTCTCCATCCTGGCTCTTCTCATTGCCACCAGGTCAAGTCAGTGAAGGCCTTTGGTGCTAACAGGAGACCCCACCACCTCCTGAACAGGAGAGTGGATGGGAGAAGAGAGGTTGCCCAGCTTTTCCAAGCTGAGCCAAGCACATTATACCTGCCACAGTGGGAGGGAGCCCAAGAAATGCTGGCCCAAGTATGGGGACATCCTGAGCCAGAGCAGATGCTGCTCAGCAGGGTGGCAGGGGACAGGAGGTGTCACTGCCCTGCGGTGGGTACCAGTTTGCCTGTTAGGGGCAAGAGCCCGCAGTGAGCATAGGGAGAAGGTGGCCTTTTGGGACAGCAATGGGTCCTACAAGGAGCAGGCATCTGCCCCGGGTGGTTGCTCTCCAGTGCTCTGGCTGAGGGGTGGCCACTCAGCATTGGTCCAGCTTTGTCCCTTCACAGCTGACTTTAGGGTCTTTGTCCCTTGAGCTGTGAGGTTCATGGCAGTATCATCTTACCCATTTTGCTGTCCCATGTGTCATCATTTGGGGATTAGGATTAGTGGGCAAGAGCTCATGTGAGCTCTGCAGGACTGGGGCCTTTGTAAGGAGCATGCATCACATCTGCATGGGAAAGGCCATTCGTGCAGAAGCAGAGAAGGTCCCTTCTATGGAAAGGCAAAAGAAGAAGCCAGACACTGGGGGACTGATGGACAGGAAAAGTCCCTACAACCCAGCGGCCCCTGACATGTGACAGGAGAGCTCAGCCCCAGGTGTGGAGCTGTGGCAAAGTGGCTTCTGTGTCATCTTGTCATTGTGGCTGGGAGGATGTTCATGTCTCCACAGTGTGAGAAGTACATGGCCTCTGGGTCAGTCCGGCTGCACGTCCGATTCCCTGCTGTGACCCTCAAGCCACTAAGGGGTGAAGCCATTGTGTCTTTGCTCTGTACAAGGTGACAGCCACAGTCTGCTGCAGCGCAACCATGGCTGGATTGAGGCTTGGCTTTCCATATACCCTGTCTGGTATCTACCCATGGCAGGTGGGCTGCAGAACTCCCTGAGTGTCTCTGATGAGAGGGCTGGATGACCCTTCTGCTGGAAGCTTGGTGCTTTCAGCGCCTTTCTTATTTTGCCTGCCAGTGACTTCCCTTCCCAAGGGAGCTCCAGGACCAGGGAGCTGAGGCTGTGGAGCATGCAGAGCCCAGCAGCACCGTCCTTGACAGTGGGGTAGGACAGGGACTGGCTTTTTACACCTTGTGGGGTCAGCTTGGGGAGCTGGCTGGGACCCCATGTAACGTGTCCCCAGCCAGGCAGTGGTTAAGCTTTTATCCATGGGGGAGAGGGAGAGTGGAGAGGTGGGAGACTGGGAAGGTAAAGCATGAGGTGGTCAGTGAGATTCAGGAGCTTTTGAGAGAGGTGGACTTAGGGGTCAGCATGCAGAGGGCTGTGGACACAGCCTGTGTCTGTCTCGCTGGGAAGGCTGCAGGACAGGGAGCACTGCATGGCCCGGCAACCCAGCGGCATGTCCTCAGTGGGGACTGGGAGCTGAGGGCCCTGGCTGGTGCTGGACCTGCCATCGGAGCACAGCAGGACACTGGAGTCAGCCTCGCACTTGGTGGTACGGCTGTAGTAGGGCTCCATCACGCTCCGGAGCTCCAGGGGCATGGTGAGGGGCAGGACCTCAGCTTTGATGACAGCACCCAGGTGTGCTTCCGAGGAGGGTGCCCGCAGGCTCTCGGAGCGGCTCATCTTGATCAGCAGGTCGATGGTTTTGTTCTCAGCCTCGAGGAGGCACTTTGGCAGCTCCCCCCCATCTCCAGCCTCCCCGGGGGCTGTACATTTGAGGGCCCCTTGGTCTTTAATGTGGAGCTTCTCACTTCCCAAGCTCATGTTGCAGGGCTCCTTCTTGGCCTGCTGGACCTTCTCCAGGCCTTCTGAAGATCTCTTCACCGAGAGGTCCAGAGGTCCCTCATGGGGTTTGGTGGCTTTCTCCAGTGCCTGGTGGATGTGGTAGAGCTCCCTTCGGATTTTGACCAGCTGGTCCCTCAGCTCCTTTTGCCCAGGGGTGTCCTCCTTCGCCAGATCAGAGAGTTTCTTCTCCACCTCTTGATACTCCTCTAAGGTTTTGGACAGCTCCCCTATAAGCACGTTTGTGGCCTCAGAGTCTGTCATGGTGGCAGAAGTCTCTTGTGGTCGGCTCTGCTTGCAGGAGCCATGGTCCAGGCCATCACTCACAGAGGGAAGAACTTCAGTGTTGGCTCTCTCTAATTCCTCAGGTTGGCCTGCAAAGACCTCCATGTGCCAGTGGTTCAGGGCTTTGGGGATGTGGCCAGGGTTGTCCCTTGAAACACTGCAGAGAGGAAATGGATACAGTCAGTAGGGAAAGAGACAGGAAAATCCTTGGGCCTATGTGCAGGCCAGCATCATCGGGTTCAGCCAGGGCTCCAACACTGCCTGCTGAGGCCCTTCCAGGAAGGGCTTTGGTCTGAGCGTGCGGAGCCCTGACTGGACTTGCTCCTGGCATTGTTCTCCCAGGAACTTCCCATAGACTCTGACACAGGCTATTTCATGACACCCACCAACAAAGGGAGAGACCAGCCTGGGGCATGTTGTTGATGTGACCCCAGCTCAGCTGGCCAGTCCTGGGTTCTCCGTCTTCTTGGGCCACTGGAGAACAGTAATGGAAAGGACCACCCTACAGTCCTGAAAGCCCAGTTGGAGAGGATGTCTCCAGCCAGCCTGAGAGCAAGGAAGAAGCAGGTGGAGATAAAAAAAACATTGAGAGCTTCTCCTAAGAAAGCTCTTCCAGGTGCCAGGAGCCAACCCAAAAGGTTTTACAGTGACATTTTCTTGGAGCTACATCTGGAGGTGCACAACCAAGACAGGAACTGAAACTGTTCAAAGGAGCTGTGCATATTTCTAGCCCCAGGTAAAAGGAGATGTCTGGAAATGTGACCCTCCCTCTGGGCTTTGGAACCAGAAGGCAAATCAAAGGAATGCAAAAGCCTGTGTTTAAAAATTGTTCCAGCAATCCTGGGATAGCTGGAAACCCAAGAGGAGGCTCCCTGGTGCCTGGAGAGCACAGGTCCACACCACACTGACACCACACCACCACTGGCTTCATATGAAACAGGGGACAGTGAAGGACAGCAAGTGGTGCCATCACCCAGATCCTTTGATCCTGAAGGGCAGAAAGCTCTGCTCCAGTGTGGTATGGACCCACCAGCCTGGAGTGTGCTCTGCCCTTGGAGACTCCTCTCATGGTTTAGAGCCAAGTGGGGCAATCAGTAATATGATAGGGTATGAAGATGTGAGGAGGAGTCAGAGAGATCACAGGCACCTTACCTGCTCTGGTAGCCGAGTTTTCCAGGCATCAGCCTTTCGGGTCCTATCAAATCCAGCCCACTGGCAGAGAACTTCCTCTTCAGGGAGTTGCCCGGAGATGGGGTGTTCTCCAGACAGGTCACCACTGGTAGCTCTGTCTTCCGGACACTGCTGGGGGCAAAAGCACCATCCTTTATTCCCACCATGTTTTGGTAGATGTCAGCAGATGGCTTTTTGTGTAGGCTGCTGAGGCCCAGTGCAGGGTTGCTCTCCTTCTCCTGGCAAAACCATTTCTCCTCTTCCTCCTGCCCCAGCATGGCAGTGTGGCTGAGCTCGGAGGCCGGGTCCTCTCTGACATCTTTGGACCAAGGAAAACCCGTCTTCAGAACTGGGACCTTCAGCAGCCCTGGTTTGGTTGGCTCACTGGGAGGTTTGGCTTGGGGCGGTGTGGGCATGACAGAGCCCATCAGCTGCTGGGCTTCTGGCTTGCTGGAGGGCATCTTGCTTTCAGTGGAGCCAAAGGTGTGCTCGAAGAGCAAGGGGTAGTAGAAGCGTGGCAGGAAGGCTGAGCGCTCAGGGCTCTGCAGAGGCTGGAATTGGGAAGCATGTGGGTGCATCAGCTGCGCCGTGGAGGCCAGAAAGGGCAGCTGAGCCAAGTGTTGGTGTGTTGTAGTACTGTTGGCCATGGTGGGGCTCAGGTAGGAGAACAGGCTGGGGTTTAATGGGTAGTTAATACCCAGCAGTGACAGGTTGAGGCCCTGTGGTTCATGGTAGTCGCTGTATGCCGGAGGGGGATAGCATGGGATGATGTTGCTGTCAGTACAAGGTGAGGAGACCTCAGGTGTGTTCCTCCTTTGCCCATTTGCCACCAGTTTCCACTGCTCCATGAGGATCCCGCTGCTGGTCAGGCATTTCTTCGGCACTTTGCAATGCTTTGGCTTAGTATCTAGGTCTGGGGAGGCCATTTCCCTGCTTTTCATGACGTGGTTCTTGAGGGAGAAGACATCTGTGATGATGAAGTCAGGCTCTACCTCCTTGCAAGGCTTGTCCCTCTTGTTCTTGAAACCCAAGACCAAAGTATTCACTTCTGGTTCAGTTGGGTCACCTTGGCAACCTGCCTCCACTGTTTTCTCCTTCTTCTCCCCTGCATTCATCTCCCTCAAGAGGCCAGCAACATCATCCTCCTCCTCTTGGAACTGGCCACCTTCTTCACCAGCCCCCTCACCACCAGGCAGGATGTCCACCCCTGATACTGGCTTGTCCTCGTGGCTGTCCCTGTTGCTCTGCTTGGTCCTCGCCGATCCTCCTGACGTAGCTGAGGAATCGCAGGTCTCCTGCTCGTCCCCACACAGGCGGGAGGTCTCTGCTGCGTGCAGCAGCCGCAGCTCTGGGTGCAGCAGGTTGCCCTTCTTGTAGGGCCAGTCAGACTCGATGAGGAGGGAAAGGGAGTTCTTGCACAGGCTGTACTTCATGTGGTTGTAGAGGTGGGACTTCTCCATGCAGGTGAAGGGGCACTGGAAGCATTTGTAGTTGTATGGCTTACCCCATGGCCTCGGGATATAGTGAGGCTTTTTCGGCTTCCTCTCCTTGTGCTTGTAGACCGAGGTCAACTTGCAGCCCACATCGTCCTTAGACATGGCGGTGGGTGCCTGGAGATGGCTCCTGGTGGGAACAGAGGGGCACGGTGTCTCAATCTTCCCACACCTCTCTGGGAACCACTGCGTACTCTGGAAGAAGGACAGTGTGGAGCTGTGAGCTGTGCCTGGAGCTTTGTGGGCACCTCCTGGCTCCAGGAAGTGGAGCTGCTGGCACCTTGTTCTGGAGCTCCTGTGGCTGGGATTTAAACCCAGGCCAGTGATGGAACTTTTGCCCAAACCCCATTGCTGGGCTCATTATTAACCCTCTTCTGTCAAATCACCCCAAGGGAAAGGAAAACAAACACTATTAAAGGCATTGAAGCTAAACCTCCTCGAGGTGACACAAAAGCACTCAGGGACTTTCTCCAGCCCAGAGACCATTTCCCTGCTGAGGACAGGGAATGACAGAAGAAACCCATCAGCAGCCCTGGACACTGAGCTGGACACTGACCTATGCAGCTTTGGCATCCCCTGGGGTGTCTCAGTGCCGGAGCCAACAAAGATGTTCCAAAGCTCAGAATGCTCCAAAAGTAGCGCAGAGCTGGGCTCACTGAGGATACCTGAAACCCTCAGTGTGCAGCCGTAGTGCAAAAAGAACAGTCAAATGAACACACTGAATGGGGAGAGGCTGCCAGCTGACTGACTGACTTTAACCTGGTATTGATGCTAGAAGGGCAGTCCTACCTCCCTGGCAGCATAGGGCTGGCCCTGTCCTGTGGCAGGACAGGCATAATCCAGCCTGGGAATCCATTCTGGGATAAAACACCCCTCCCAATTCCAGGTTCCCAATTCCAATTTCAGTCTTCCCCAGGGATGGAATGTCTGGAGTACATCCAGACATCTGACAATGTTGATCCTTGTGGGTTGTGCTGGTCTTGCAGCCTGTCCCTGCTGGAACAGGCAGGGAAACACAGCACCCCAGCTCCTTGCCTCCCAGAGGACCCAGATCTCCATAGGATCCACACTTTTGGAACTGGGCTTCTTCACAGATGGCCAAGCACATCTCCTGGAGCCACAGAGCACCAACATGGATGCATATGCCTGCGTCACCCCTCCAGACACTTCTCTGCCCTGGAGGAACCTGCCAGCTTCTTCCCCATTAGAACAAAACCTGCATTCCTCCTGGGGAAGGCAGCAGATTTGAGGGCTCATTCTGTGTGGTGGGGCTCATTTCTTGCAGACAAAATAATTCCCCCATGTGGCAGTTCCCAGGGCAGAGCTCTACCACAGGAGACCCCATAGACAGGCTGGTGTGGGGATGCACAGCCCAGGAAAGGGGAAGGAGTAGCAGCATCTCAATCTCCAGCTGGAGCCATTCAGCCTCCCAGCTTCTGGGGAGAAGGAGACAAAACTGTGTGGGATGGGAAAGGCACACAATGGGGCACGCTGCAGCTTTGGGCACCAGGACCAGAAGCTGCCCAGAGATCAGTCCAGGCAGTGGCTCAAGGACCTGACAATGGTCATTGCTCCTTGCCAGAATGAAGTGTGCTCAGCCCAGCCATAGCCTGCATCCTGCTGCATGTAATCTGGGAGGCACATGCAGCTCCCAGCAGGGACAGGCACAGCAGGGCTGAAAAGCTGGGATCAGAGAGGGATGGGCAGGGAAGGGACTATTGCCATGCAGCCCTGTGATGCTCTCCACCTCCCAAGGCTGGGTGCATGCCTGCTGCAGGCACCTGCTTGCCATGATCCCATGTCCTTGGGGCTGGCTGATCACCCCACAGCCCCAGATTTCCTCCCGAGCATCCCATTCTCAGTACACGTCTGCTCTGGCCACAGCCTGGAATGCCATGTACCCTGAAGGAGCGATAGTCATGGAGACAGTCCCACCAGCCCCATGCCCAGGAGGTGGCTGTGCTGGGCTGGAGGATGGTCCATGCTCTGCTACCCACCCTCCTCACCACCAGCACCAAGAGTATCACCTTCCTCTGGGAGCGTGGTGAAAGTGTTTGCACAGTGGGCGAGGGAACTACCTACACAGGACCTTTTCCACTTTCTTCCTGAGGTCTTGTTTGTCATCAAACAGCAGAGGCCTTCTCCTGCCTGTGACAGGGCCAAGGAACAAGCTGTGCTGTGGCTTCCCAGGTGCAGCGCAGGAGCCTGCAGGGCAGGCTGAGCTGCAGGCAGTGTTTGGAGACAGCCCACTGCACGCCCACATGTCACTTGAACTGGAATCTGACCCTGCTGCTAAGCTCTGGTCTTGCAGAAAATAGGCAAAAATGTCCCCTTGTAATGAACCCGTGTCCCCCAGGATGCTGCAGGAGCTCCAGGGGTGCAGATCTGACCTGCACCAGCCAGGGCTAATCTCTCCCTTGGCTCGGGGCCTCCTTCCTGCAGGTTCTCCCAGTGAGTGACAGCCTGCCTGGACGGACACGCTTGTCCTTGACTTCTGTGTGCGTCAGGCCTCTGAGCCGGGAGCGCTCTGCACACACGCTGCGGCGCTCAGGACAGCAGAAAGGATGCAGTGGGATGGAAGCGAGCATCGCTCCCTGGCTCCAGCCACCAAGCCTGTGGTGCCCCGAGCATCCTGCCCCATGCCCTGATCCCTTGCCCCTTCTCCCCCCCTGCTAAAGGACAAGAAACAAAGACTGGCTGAGCCAGGAGTTGGGTGCCTCGGCTCCGCTGTCATGCATGGCGCCTGTTTGCAGGTCAGTTGAACAAACATCATTTGCTGCTTATATGCCAGAGGCAGATTAAATCTTTGCTGGGAGACTGGAACTGGTTGTTCCATTCCTGCACACCTGATCCTCCTCCTCCAGCGCTTCTGCAAAAGGTGTTTGTTCCCCTCCTGTGCCCCGTGGTGCCACTGAGACGTCCCACATGGGGACAGGAAGTTTGTCTGCTTCACGGAATCACAGAATCAACCAGGTTGGAAAAGAACTTTAAGATCATCAAGTCCAACCATTCCCCAGCACTGCCAAGGCCATCACTAAACCATGTCACTGAGGGCCTCGTGTACATGGTTTGTGAACACTTCCAGGGACAGACAATCCACCACTGCCCTGGGCAGCCTGCTCCAATGCCTGAGCACCCTTTGGGAAAGAAACTGCTCCTAATATCCAGTGAAAGCCTCCCGTGGCGCAGCTTGAGACCGTTTCCTCTTGTCCTGTCACTTGTTCTTTGAGAGAAGAGACTGACCCCACCTCTCTAACTCTGTGAAAAGGAGCAGAAAGGGAGGAAAATAGGAAAAAACAAAGAAAAGGAAAGGGAGCAAGTGGGAAGCGTGAGCCAGGCAAGATGTGCCGGAGCGGAGGCATCCCTGGAGCTGGGAGCCAGGCGCAGTGGCTCCTGGTTGCTGAGCAGTTCCCGCACCAGCAGATCTTTGTGGTCTGCTGAGTCTCTCTCTGCCATAACACATTATTTCCAGTGGGCTGTCAGCCGCGGCGGCGGGGCCGTGCCTGCGGGCAGCGTGCGCCGGGGACACAGCACCTGTGCCTGGGAATTGCAGCATCCCTGCTCTCCAACCCGGGAATGCCGTGGGGAGCAGGCATGGTCAGATGGAGGGAGCAGACAAGGGGAGAAGAAAGAGAGGGAGAGACAAAGGGAAGGAAGAAAGGAGAGATGCCCAGGAAAGAGAACTTACTCCCCAGTGCTTCACTACTTAAATCCCAGCCCCAGCCTGAGCTCCAGTTACAGGGATGTAGGGAAGTGCACACAACCATTGAGGCAAATGAACTTCAATGCATCAAATGTCCATTCATGCCTCTAATAACAATCAAAAACAGATTCCCAGGATGTGCAGCAAGCATCTACAGTTTTAGAATCACAGAATCCCAGACTGGTTTGGGTTGGAAAGGACCTTACAGCTCATCCAGTTCCAACCCCCTGCCATGGGCAGGGACACCTTCCACAGGCAGGGACACCTTCCACCAGACCAGGTTGCTCCAAGCCCCATCCAACCTGGCCTTGAACACTGCCAGGGATAGGGCAGCGACAGCTTCTCTGGGCACCCTGTGCCAGCGCCTCAGCACCCTCACAGGGAAGAGCTTCTGCCTAAGAGCTCATCTCAGTCTCCCCTCTGTCAGGTTAAAGCCATTCCCCCTTGGCCTGTCCCTACAGGCCCTTGCCCAAAGCCCCTCTCCACCTTTCTTGTAGCCCCTTTAGGCACTGGAGCTGCTCTAATGTGTTCCCAGAGCCTTCTCTTCTCCAGGCTGAACAATCTAGCTCATGTCTCTAATAACAGTCAAAAGCAGACTCCCAGGATGTACGGCAAGCATCTACAGTGCTGCTCTAGTTTTCCTAACCTCATATCCATCACAGCACATCCCTACAGCAGGATGGCTGTCGCTATATGCAGCATGTGTCAGTTGAAGCTGTGGAGATGCTCAGCCCCCAAAGCATCCTCTCAGCACACCACAGAGCTTCACCCTCCATCTTCCTGAGCTTGTTGGTCCCCAGTCTTTGGCTAGAGGAAGCAGCAGCCACAGTCCGTGTCCACCCTTCAGCCACATGCATCACCATCACACCCCTGGTTCACCCTCTCCTTTCCAGGCTGGAGCTGGACATAGGGCCAAACCCTTCCAGACCTCTTCCCCTTCCCTGAGCCTCTTCCTGGTCTGCAGCAGCCATTTGCAGGAAGGGGCTTGGTCTGATGGGTTCCTTTGTCAACGCCCAACCCACCCTGCAGCCCTCTGCACCGGTAGATAGGCATGCCAGCACCCACCTTTCAGGGGAGGAGAGACAAAAACACTCTGAAGTGCAGCAGTCTGGTTCAAAGTCAGGTCTCCTGCAGCATGTGTGTCCATCAGAGCAGCTCTGCTACTGTGAACCTGCCCTCGTCTGCTTTTGCAGACCCCCAAGAGCTTTTCAGGCTGCAGCAAAGACCCCATCTCTCAAAATGATTTCCTTCCTTTGCTGCTGTCCTCTGAGTCCTCCAGTGCTGCCTGTAGGCTGCCAGGAAGCTGCAACGCTCCCGTGGAAATTGGCTGCCCTCAGCCTTTCCCAGATGGCTGTAGGACATAGCATGGAGGAAGGGGCTCAAGAAAGGTGCTGAAGTTCTTCACTCAGTGGTGCTGGGATGAACCTCCTGCATCATACCTCAGCATAGAGGGCTCCTGTGGTCTCTTATGAACTGGTCCTACCCCCCATGGGTGGGAATTCATTTGCAGTCCCCAGCACCATCTGCAGGGGCAACTCTTCTGCACCTATGTCGATCCAGCTACTTCCTTCTGGGCTGTCAAGGTTGCTTTGGGGCTCAGTATTACACCAGGCAATGTGGTCCTGGCATTGCCATGGCAGGGAGCGCGCTGCCCCCATCACTC